TCAAAGTAAAGGACTTTATGTAACTGATACTGACTGGTTTGCATTTCTTCTGCTGTGGGATGAGCTCGGGCATGGGTAGAGGCCGTGGTTTAGGTTCGGTGAGGGCGAACTCCTGGGGCTCAGTGGTTTTGGTTGCAGCTTTCTTGAGCAGATTCCCTTGAGAGATCTTGACTGCAAGCTGGTCCATGAGAATATCTATCTCAGGGCGCCACCTAAAGGACACACATGCAAACATTTGGGTTGTCTGAATTTGAAATGCTCTGCTCACAAAACGACCTCCACTGGCATACTTGTGCACATTTCTGACCAGACTGTGTGGAAACAGACTCAATGATCAATGGCATGAGCACCCCTTGGTGCCCTATTCTCTTGCATGTTCACACTGAGCCTATGTGACAGGAATGAAAGAGTCTACAGACAATGTGACGAACTTCATGTGACTTCAGCGTCAAATCAATCACTGAATACAGCCCTCAAAGGATTAAAAATTTTGTTTGCTACTGACTGCTGTCATGTCTTTTTGTTGTCAGTGAATTACACAATGTGTAGATTTAAGTTTTTCCTTCATTTTTTGAATTATTATAGTGTTATTACCTAAGTAGTATTTTTGTTTATCATGCTTTTCTCACCTGAGTAGAGGCCCAATCCACTGTTTTGCCACAAAGGCAGCATCATAGATGTTGTTCCACTCATCCTGTATCCACGTGGTGAGGTTTGAGAAGAAGAAACCTAAAAACTAATTTTAAAAAGTGCAACATAAGAAAGCTGCTGATTAATTTCCCTCTTCTGCACCCAGAATTTGAGTTTCTTACCATGTGCATTTTCTTGATGTCCAGAGATTTAACAATGCTGCTAAAACACTGAAGCCCGAGGTCATCAAGAAGAAATGTGGCCAGGTAACAGATAACTGGGGAGCAAGACGATCATTAAAACATGTCAGTTCTTTTATTCAGGCTGAAATCAGGAGTAGCAATGAAGTTACTCACCAACAAACTGGCTACGTTCAACTCTGGACACGGATTTTACGTGCTGGCCAAAGAAGGCATTGATGACTACATCCAGCAGCTTCTTTTGCTCAACACATCCGGAAACAACATCAAGAATGAACTTCCTCTGCAGCATGTCCATGTCCTGTGACAAAACAAGAAATACAGGCTAATCAGAAGCAGGCCTATGCATCCACTCACATTGATCTGAGTCTGACATACCTGCAGATCCTTCATAGCATCTTCTGTGAAGTCATCCAAACACTGTCTGCTAGCTCTAAACTTGTCGAGGAGCTGAACGGCTTCCTTCACAAGTGATGCATAGTTTGATGCCATCTTAAATCCACTAGAAAAGCCCACAAATAAACTGTTTATATAAGCAAAGCTCACGAATTGAGAGATGAGAGAACAAACAGTTCTCCCTGG